TTTACGTTTTGGCGTTCTAGGAATGTGACTTTTGGTGGTTTTCCTATTTCATGCGTGCGGGGGGGGGAGGGGGGAGTCGTACGACTCGACTAAAATCCCAACCAATGATGTGCCCTGTATGGGAGAGGTCCGTATGAGGCCTATGAACTACCTCGGGCAACGGGCTCGCAAAATAGAGCGCCCCAATGCTTTGAAAAACAACACTAGTTATACAGTTAAAATGAGAAAAATAGGATCACATCAGTCACGAGGTGAAATTCATTTTATGTATGTTATATGTTGTTGCATTGCCCATACTGAAAATGAGTGCGCGTTCGGAGAGCGGAGAACATAGTGATAGAGACAGGGCCACTAAGATAGTGGATAACATGTCGTTCTTACGGTGGGACAGATTCAGCCACCCTTCAATCTAGAGATTTCCTACATTTCGAACATTTAGACTGAGAAAGTATTTTGTTGAACCGGATTCAAAAATGTTGAAAAAATTAATGTGGTTTCCAAAACTACCTTGAATACACAATTCAGCCTGAAAATAGCTTTATAATAGCAGGGCAAATGATTGCAATTGATAATCATCAGTCTTAGCTTGAGATTCTCCGAAATGTCAAAGTGCAAAGCCAGAGGCTGGATGTACGGACGACCCTTCCCCCAAATTTGCGCCAGCCAACTCTGCGTCTCTACCGCTTCGGGGATCCCCTCGAGTATAGCATACGGCCGCTCTGGGGGACGTCCCCCTGGGGTGTCTTCCCCTAGAGGGGACCCCTCCCCTCGAGGGGGAGTATAGCATACGGCCCCTGATGTGAACGTGATTTAGAATGTCTATGAAGCTCTCAATGCTGTTGGGTTGTGGTGGAGATCGCGCGCTGACTACATTGCGCTTCAAAGGGCGGGCCGCACTCCAGAGAACACGGATCGCAAAGCGCTGGTCTTTTGCTTGAGACTGACATGACTTGAGACATGAGACTTGCATTCGAAACTTCCTAGCTCTCCCTCTCAGTCCCTTTGTAACCACAATCGATGATTTTTTTTCAGGAACTACGATCCTTACACTCGCATGAAGGAAATTTGCGCCGAAGGAAAGGGTTACATGCACACGTGTCCTCAGGACCTTGCAGATATGTACAAGGAGAAGGGCAAGGAAGTCGCTTCTTTGTAGATTCAACTTGTTGGTTCTATGCAGTGTAATTAGAATAAAGTTATGTAGTGTTCTTTACATAAATGGGATTTTATTTCATGAAGTTGTTGTTGGTGCAGAAGATGAGTAACAAGCCTGATACCTTGTCTTCACTCAGTAAATGTCTGCATTGAAACACATTCTGCCATTTACTGTGATGTGGGGAATTATTATTCAAGCTGGCCTGGTCCCCAGTTGCACAGTACTGAAAACGCGAGGAAGAGTGGCGACGTCCTTTAAAGTTTGTTACGAAGGTGCAGCTCTTTTATAGAAACAATTTGCGCCTTTTAGAGCGCATTTAAGTATTGCGATCGCGAAGTGTGAACACACTCTCGGGTCTACCCCTATTGTGCGCTCTTTTGCCTTTTCGAAGTCTTTTCTCACGCTTGTTAGCTTCGATGTGTGCTTATACAATAAATCAGATTATCAGAGTCCTTGTTTAGGGCGTGCTAGCTGTTTCTTTTCTTTTTCCTTCCTTGGTAATTCATCACATAAGGTTTTGTTTAATGAGCCTCATTGCCCAGCAACGAAAGTGTTTTTGAAGGTTCTAGGGGAACGTACAACCTCACAATTTTTATAAACTTTATGATGTAGGAGAAACTGAAATACAGGCTCTGACTAGGGAAGGTCGTCAGGTCGAAGTGGCCATTTGTGATGAGATGTAGATCACTAGACGTGGTTTTGGACGCTGATCTTGAATCTGCCTTCAAAATTTGCAAAGCGATTCTCTGAACGGAGTTATGGAGCCGCGTTTACCACGCAACAGGATCGGATCCCTGCTGAGCTTAACTTTTTTGCTTGTTGCGCAAACGTGGCAAAAAG